AATATGCCCGGGCTGTCCGACTGTTTATGCTCAAACCTGCCTCGCACAATGCTGAGGGGAAAGATTTCATTTGTTTCAAATAGCAAGCCATCCACATTCCGCATACACTTTGGAAATTTTTAGAAACAAAACAAATCAAAATGCAGCAAGTCCAGAAGAGGATTTCCAGGTGTCAAAAAAAAAAAAAAAAAAAAAAAAAAGAAAAAAAAAAAAAAGAAGAGGTTTTGCCTTAAGAGTGTTGAATTTTGAAAATGTAAAGCTACTGCTGCCCTTTGCGAGGAGAGTCAGCTTTGCCCGCCCTTTACCACGCGCCCAACCATCCTGATGACAGCTGACCACAGAACAAACGCTCCATTTGACACAGGCTTTTGAGATGGTCTTTTAATTTTTGGGTTTGCTCCAATGCAAAATAAAAATAACCTTTTGGACTTCAGGGTCATGTTGAGCCAGCCGTTTTCGAGCAAGGAAGGCGCTGCACGCATTAGGAAGGCTTTGCTAATAGAACTAAACCAGCAAGTTTTCCCATCATGGGCTCATCTTGCCGTGGCAAGCAAGGTTTGTGCTGGTTCCCTAAATGGGTGAATGCTCTCTCAGCAAAGCTACACCTTTGCTGACACAACAGCTTTCAGACTATGACTTTTGCTGGCTTAGCTATATTGATTAAAAAAAAAATGAACAAAAACAAAACCAGCACTCGTCCTTTCTGATGCAGATAAGCTGACAAAGTTGCAAGTGAATGACTGGCCCAGTAATTATGATGCTGGTTCAGAATGTGGGAGAACCAGTTTCAAATCCACGCTCTGTCTGATCCAAAACTCTTTTTTTGGGTTCCAAATCAGAACCACTTGAGTAGGACAAGGGAATCTCACCATTTGTTTCTTCTATGCAGATAATTCAAGGTCAGCGGGCTAACAACCACATTCCTGATACGAAACAATCCCGTTTCAACTTAAATTTTCACTGAAATAAAAACATCTTAGCTTCAGTAAATCATCATGTTTCGGTAAGAGATAATTTAGCTGAAAGTGTTCCAACCAGCTCTAACCCCCATGCTAAAACCACAACACAGCCAGCTCCTACGCAGTACAAGTTTCGAGAACAGTACCGTTATCATCGCTAGCTTGCAACGTGCACGAGCATAAGCCACATATTGGAATTGCTTCACGATGGGCAGCAGCAGAAGAAATCTTCTCTACGAAGAGGCCCATATTAAAACCAGGCAAATACAAACCAGGGGTTATAATTACACTGCTGTTTTCAAGCAGAGGGAGCTATTGTACAGGAAGAGAAGAGCAATATAAACTACGCAGGGCCAGGGCTAAGCCAGGACCGCGAGCAGCACTGTAAAACCCTGAGTGTTAGTTCCCAGTAACCGTGAATTGCAACGCGATTGCCATGAAGAATGCAACAAAAGCTGCTCGTGAAGACACGGGCCTACTGAATTTCAATATGTAATCATTAATCCATATTCTCTATAATTTAACATGAAGGTGATTGCAACAGTGGATTGCACCCTGCTTTTCTTACCAAAACAAAAGGAACAATATTTTTTGTAAACCTTGCTTTACAATTTACGCTCAAACATCCTAAAGAACACAACCTGCTAAAACAAGACAGCAAACACTGAATTCACTTTCACGTCTTGTAAACAGTGAGTGCAACTGGACTGCGTGGGTTTTGTCTTGTTTCTGAAAGAAAGCAGTGCTAGCAGCAGGCTGAAAAACAGATTCTTCCCTTCTGTACTAACTACAAGCAGCAAGTCCACAGGGCCCCGATGGACTTCGGGGCCACCACCACGTTAACAGGCCAGCTAGTGCCATTTGAGGTGAAAAACCAGCACTAACTGCGACTGCACGCCTACCCTGAGGCTCTCAATTCATTTACTTGGCTTGTGTTAAGTGAGATACTAGCGATTTTTAGTGACTAGCAGTCAGGGCTGGATTTCAGTCTCTGCTTTAAAGTGAAAGGCTTGGATGGAGCTTACAGGCTGGGAAGAAACCCTCTCCCCAAACTCAGAGCTGAGACATTGCTGTGACGGTACTCGGCTGGAACACAGAAGTGACTCAACTTCAATAGTTCAAGAAATTATTACAGGACTTTGTATTACAGCAGAGGGAGCATGCACAGGACAGCCCCATGCAGTTTGGTCATCTTAAAATGGGCATGAATGGGGCTTGGGACATTTAAAGAGAAACTTTTAACTTCAGTTTACTGAAGGATTCCTTTACACAAATGAATCGTTCATGAACAACGACCAAAGGAATCGGACTGCAATGTAAGGCTGTCACGAGACCAAATCTCTCAACTTACAAGCACTGACACAGATTTTTTTTTTAATAAGAATTACATGCAAAAAAATTGCCACTGGTATAAATGACGAAAGTTGACCAGTGCCACGCACCAGCAGCAGCTCAAGATGCTGGCCTCCAGGCAACCCTTTGAGGAACCAGTATGTTGTAGCTGTTGTCTTTTCCTTTGTGCTTGAGCCAACCATAGACTATATGAACTTGTTTAAAATAGTCACAATTTATTCATACTTAGCACACCATATATTTAACTACATTGAACCATAGGTTTTCCCTTCCCCTCTACTGCTCCTCATCAAAATCCACCAATGTTTCCTGGAGCCCAGGTGTCAAATTTTTCTTCTTATTTTCAGAGCCTCATTTGTTCTGGATTCATTTAGCAGTGCAAAGAGTCAAGCAGGGGCCACTGCAGTTGCTGCCGCTGGGATCCCTGGATTTGGAGCAGTATGAAATCTCTTAAAAACCTGAGCTCTGGCTAAAATGTTAAGAGTCCCAGGAGCACCAACTTAACAGGGTCCTACGTGCAATGCTGCTGGAGGGCATAACTTTATTGTGGCTTCGAGTGAGGGACTGGAGCTGGCCATGGGCACCAAAGATTCACACTCAGTAAGCAAATCTGGAAATATAACCAATGCAGCTTACCTCTGCCCGTCACCCTGGAAAATTAAAATGATAACAACCGACTTCCTCTGTCCTTACCAAACGTGAGGTTTCTGCAGCAGCCAAGAGAGGGCACTCCAGGCCCAGCTCCAGCACCACCGGAGGCGTTTCGTGCTCTGGCGAGTCCGTCAAAGCCCCAGCAGAGCCTTTGGTGTGTGCAGAGGATGAGGAGCGGTCTCTCCTCTGCCGTCGCCTGTAGCTATAACTCCATTGGATGTAAGCAGCTACCACGTTTTGCTGGGGTTTTGTTTGTGTTTTCCTTTTTTTTCCAAAGGCTCATATGAAAATGTAAGACAAAGCTGCGGGTGACTGACATTCACTGTGCAAAGTCACTCTCACTTAGTTACAGGCTATATTAGTTTTGGCATCACTTAAGATCTAAATTCAGCTAGCCTGACTTCCTAGAATATTTTAGCTTTCTTCAAGCAACAAACTGCCTGCTTCCACAAAAACACTCCTCTGAAAACACACATCCAAAATAGCATGGCAAAGGATCCCAAAAGAAACAGTTTGAAACTTTTTTTCCCCCTGTACCAATTTTGATTTATCTGAACAATTTTACAAGTGCCAATTTGTATACTGCAGGTTTTTGCCAGAGAGCCAAAACAAACACATGTTAGAGCTCAGAGGTCAGAGCAACCCAGCTTCATTACATTTTGCATGGGACCACTTCCAGGTCTAACATACATATCCATATTTAAAACTCTTCAGTTTGCAAGTGAATAAGACAGCAGACTGCAAAACACAACGCTGTAGCATACTGTACAAGGAACACACACTCACCAACAATGGAAAGGACCAAATGTATTCTATGTTCATCTTACTGTTATGGAGAACAAAGGCAGAACTGTGCAGGAAGGAATTTACCTGTATGCTCAGTATGTGAAATTACTCAAAATACCCATCCCTGCTCTCATTTGGTGAAGTGCCACTCGTTCCCTTTGCAGAGCCACCCTCCACACACATCCCGTTGGCACTGTTGGTGTGTAACAGTCAAGAACGATCAAGAACCTGCAGCCTTTTCAAAGGCACTAAGTACTTCCCGACAGGAGGAGGAAAGAGGAAGAGCCAGCTGTGAGTGAGGTCCAATTCCCTCCTTAAAGCAGCCTCAATTTAGGATGGAGACTAAAGGTCCAAACCTTCTGTTCATTCACTCCAACAAATTTACAGGAGTTGGCCTTAGGAACTGCCAAACGTACTCTTCAAGCCTGAAAAAACATCCCTGAGAAAGTGCTCAACTAGTTTTTGTTCGAACCACTGCACGGGCAACCAGACTGAAATTGAAGGAGTTGAAGATTTGTTTCTGGCTGTTCCACTCACATTAGATTGCAGGCAGCAGGACTGCTTCGGAAGAAGGCTACACAAAAGAAATAAACTACAGGCTGATGTGCTGAAGCAATAGAAACTTAAATACAGAACGGTATTCAAGGAAGAACGCTGAACTTTTTTGTGATGTAAGGGAAAGCACTGGAAATAAAACATAAGTATTTATTGATCTGCAGTGAGGGAATAAGGCAATGAATTTCAGAAGCTCTAGTGTGCAGCCAGCATTCGTCAAAACTGCTGTTATGGGACACGGCAGCAAAGAAACAGGAATTCACAGAGAAAGAAAAAAAAACACCCAGAAACAAAATACACAGAGCCACACCCAAAGGAGGTGAGAGAACAGCAAAAGAAGAGTAGGTGGCACAACGGGTTTCCCACACTGGGCTTTCATCAGCTGCGATCTGAAATCATATCAGTCTTCTCCAGCAAGAATGAACACGGTGGCCGGCAATTACTCAAACCCACGCAGGTCCGGCAGAGCTGGCAAGCACCACACGGTCAATGTTCGTCTGCTGCGGAAGAGGGATGTGCAGCAGAGAGTTGGGACAAAAGTGCTTCCAGGGAATGATCAAAAGAAAAAGAACTTACACACTTACTGCTATTCTGCAATAAAAAGATCAAAGCTAGGCACTGACGATGGTAGTTCTGAAAGTGTCACCGTGCAGCGGACTCAGGTGCATGTCACTATCTTTTAATTTATCAAACTTCTCAATCAACCCAAGGTTTCATCTGCCTTTCGTATTTGCTCTCAACAGAGCTAAAGTCACAGGGATTACATTCATTAGACTCTCTTAATATCTTATACTTTCAGACTTTCCAGCTCCAGGAAAAACACACTGAATGCTGACCACAGGGAAAAGCCACAGAGATAAGAAAAAAACCCCTGAACTCATAAGGAAATGGAAGAAAGCCACTGTGTGATGAGATAAGGAAGGGATAGAGATGTGTGGGAATAAAGGAAAAAGTACCAATGAGCCAAGGGAAAAGTTATAAATGGTATCACCTACGTAAAATACACTCGGGTCTTAACGCACATTCGGAGTTTGATCAGCTTTCTGATTCAAGTAATCCTTGAACTAAAAATCCACTAAGACAGCCCAGCAGGCACTTCCACCAGTCAGACGTGCTGGCCCCAACACCGTTAGCGGTCTGTGGAAGTGCAGTACGTGTTTTCACACCAACCAGAGCTCTCTGCATGGAGAGCTTGCATCGTAAACAGCAAACACAGGAATTACGGACAATTGGCTACAGAAAAAGCTGCAGAAGAGAAGACAGGGCATTTTTTTGCTACAAGGATCCACACACAGTGACTTGGCCCAAAGAAGACTTGCACAGTATGGATGGTGGAGAAGATGGTAGGCAAAACGTTGCGGAGAATTTTAAGGCTACTGAGAAACACAGTGAGAACAAACAGAAAGACTCCAAGTGCAACACTACTGTTTGGATTTGGGGAGCAGCATCTTCCAGAAGGGTGAGGCACTAAGAAAACAGAATACTTCATAACTTCCATGAGTTTTCAGACTTCTCCATAGTTATCCATCAGCACCACCATATGCCTCAGATCTCGTGGGTTCAGAACAACAGATCTGGAGCTGTCTGGGTTGAGCTTTTACACGTCCGTTGCTCCACCATCTCCACATGCGCACTGAAAGACTACCGCAGCTTTTACATAAGCAGCACCCAGTTTCCTCTGGTCTCATCTACATTATCTTACCCTGGCTAAGATTTGCTAAGGAAAATCTAGCTACAGTTTTGTCCCTTTAAATTCTCGCCTTCTCTTGCAGGCAGAAGCCATCTGCAGAATAATAATGAATTTCTTTGGTTTGGGGTTTTTTTGTTTTTATTAAAAGCTATTCTTCCTAGCAGGAAATGAAAAAGAACAACCAGATTGGTAGAATTTGGAGGAATAGGGAAAACATTTCTAAAGGTTAATAATAATACTGCTTAGTATTTATTTCAAGGATATGTGACAAACCAAAGAAAAACAGATGTTCTCAGCAACGCTCCAGTTTCTCTGCAGACCCAGGTATTGTCCAGAGCGCTGCAGCTCACGGAAGACAGGAGGAGGACATGCCACTCCACTCTGTACATGAGATCCCTTCCTAACTTCTCACTTGAAGAGTCAGACTGATGATCCCCCGCCACATCCAGCATCAGGGCATACCCAAGCCCTACAGTGACTTCCTGTGTCCGAGTTCTCCAGCTCCTCTACCTCAGCAAGCGATTCCTCCTGTAGATCTGTATCTCACGCTGAGATACACAGTCTCTTTGATTTCTTATTAAAGTGGTTTCTGGTCTCCCAATGCTTTTAGTACTGCTGGAATTCTGGAAACCACTGATCATGAACACCCTAGAAACTTTACCAGGAATGTACTCAACTGCATTCACCAGCTCTTCGCTCCTGAAAAGTAGTATTTAAGCTGAACTCCAAGAGAATTTTCAAAAAGCTACACCGAATTCAGTTCATGACACACTATTAAGAATTATTTTTCAAATGAAGCAGCTTAATATGATTTAAAGGATGCAGAACTTTCCTATAGGGGGAGAGGAGCAAATCCTCCGTGAGATGAGTACCAACACAGTTGGTACTGAGGCTTACAGAACTTTGATGTTAATGAATGTGGATGGGTTGTAGAGATGGAAGAAAAGCTGCCTTTATCAGTTTTCCCAGTACCAAGCTGATAGCCATTGTAAAACTGCTTTTTAATACAACTGTACAGCTTCTGCCAGTAAGCCACAGGTTTCCATCACATGATCAGGTGAAAACGTGCTTAACAAGGACGTGAATATGCTTCTTTGTTCATAACAAACATATCACAAGACGGACAAAGCTCAAATTATCACAAGAGGGCAAACGTTTAGTTAGCAGTATGTCAAAGCGCTCCAGCCTGCATCTCACTGTTGAACAGTCCAAAAAAAGAGAAAAAAATACAATCTAGTTGAATATCACCTTCTACAAATAGGAAGTCAGTTTGCTTTTTCATAACTCTACATCTGGAGCCTGTTTGTTTGGGGCATAAAGAGAAAGAGGAAAGATATTTGGAGACACTGAAATTGCTTCACTTCCTGCCGTGAATGACTATGCAGCGATTTTGTTATAAAAAAAGAAAACAATTGTTTCCCATGCTCCCTGGGAGAAGGACAAAACATAACCTGCTGAATGTGCAGCAAAAAAAAAGACTTCAACAGTAAGAAAAAACTGCTAATGATAATGAAGATAAGTCTAGGAATAAGGCAGCTGTGGGGTCCCTATTGCTAGACTGCAGTAAGCAGCCCTTCAGCCCTGACCCCGGCTGACAAAGGCAGGCACGCTTCGTGCTGTTTCAGGTCTGGGTAACACAAAGCTCATACAGTGCTGAAACGCCTGTTTCAGCTTCCATCAATGGGGAGATATTTACACCCACGTTGGCAAGGACCACTTGGCGCAGGTGAGCCCATAAGCTCCTACAGCCCCACGGGTGTACAGGGCAGCTGGGCACTGGGGACTTACCTTTCAAGCACAGATGGAGAGAAACAGCATCTCACAGGCATTCCCAAGAGCTATGTAAGATGTCAACCCTCTCCATTCCAACCCTTTCCCCCTCCCGTTTCACGCACTTTAAAACAGCTGCTTTAAAATACTCGTGACTTCAAAGCACAGTAAATTAAGCTCCGCATAAAGTCCATCCAGCTTTTTGTTTAATTCGATAAAAGCTCATCAGACCATTCCAGTTACCTTCTGGTCAATACTGCCTCCAGAAATCTGCAATTCAGCCACCTGTGGTTTTTCCACTATTTTTGTAAAACATTGCTGAGAGAATCTGGATCTGCTGGCCTGCACGCACCAGGTCTTTGCTAAATGCTGTTTCAGGCCCACTCAAAGTACCTTTTATACTAGTGAGAGCTCTTCTCTCTCTCTAAAACTCTTCCTCTTGTGTGATTTTTCCTTCCTCTTGCTCTAACCGCCTGGGTTCATCACTACTTTTATGCAGCACTTCTCCTCTATTTTAACCCCGATATACCATGCCCTCTTCTGTTTTAATTTCTTTCTAAGAAAAAGGATTGGCCTCACTAACAATAGCTTAGCTCTTGACTTGCTGGCTAGGAGGTTTAGCTTCAGGCTACACAAAGTTACAACTAAGCTAGATACTTTCACGTCTATTGACAAAGAACAATAAATATGCTTACTGTAGCCTCTTGCATCACAGATGATCCCAAAGCACTCTACAAACAGTGTACAGGGTCCCTCATTCACCATCAAAACATACTTGCCGCTAACTGTGCCAGCAACACTACATAAACGTTAGTTAAGAGGTGAAAAAGAGAGCAACTTCTCCAAGTGAAATTACAAGGAAATTAAGGGAGGCAGAGTATATTACTTCCCGGAGAAGTTGGCCAGAAGACTGAACAGCACACCTTTTTAACGGTCAGAAGGGGGGCAGGGTCCCTGTTCAACACAGAATCAGCAGCGACGACGCGATGCTGCTCCTCAGGTCTCTCCTGGGCATGATGCGTTACCAGCTGAAGAAAGCCCACCGCACGCAGAGCCTGTCGGCAGGGCCGCCACTGCCTCTCCTTCTGCAGGCTTTTCATCTACGCATTATCAAGAAAAAGCAATGCGAGCCTAAGAGCTTTGACAAGATCCCAACACAGTGGTGACAATGAAAAATACACAGAAGATTTCATTTTAAGACCTCTTCAATGTTTCTTATTTAAATAAGCCATCACACTGGGAGAAAAAAAATCCCGTGAAACGGATCATTTCAAGAATACAGAGGATCAGCCTCCCCATCCACCTCCCCTCTCGCCAAGTACTGACCTTGCTAGCAAAGCAGCAGTGGCAAAGATTTTAGATTTCCTACCACATAATTACAAACTAGGACATTCAGCAAAGGGAAAAAAAGAATTTTTTTTTTTAAATAAATACTGATCATGTGAAGTTGAACAGTATCCTATATAAATACAGTCCTGTTACACCAAAAAGGGTCAGTCTACTCTGTTGCTCTAACGGCATCTTATTAGGACCTTATTAAAAAAAGAAGGCTCTGGTTTAAGCATTTAAATCCCTAAGGACAGGCAAAAGAAAACACAGGACAAAGTAGAAATACTATTGATTATGCATAATTGGTATAATTAATTTGTAATTAGTTCATTAAAATGTATAGGCATTGGAATTATGCTTGTACATTTCTGGGAATATCCTGCGTGTCACTTGGGATATGCTTATCATTTATTTGATAGATGAGACATTATTAGAAAGACAGCCCATTAAAAATTAATATACCAGAGTAATAATTTCTTGATCTCAGCATTCTGTTTTCTATGTACTCAGACTCCTACCTCATGAAGAGTTTTTATTAATACTGTTTTTCAGAGCGTGACCTGGGAAGCGCAGCATTCTGGACAACTGAGGCACACTATCCTTTTTGCCAAGTATGGAGTCAGTTTTGAGAAAACAGAGAGACAAATACCGTAAATTACTATTATTTGAAGCCTCATGCTTCAAAATAGATACCAAACATGAAGTGAAAGCAGTAGGAAGAAACTTCCACAGCACCATAAGCAGCCCGGTCTCTAATTGCTTAGCGTTATTCCACTTCTGCAGTGCATCTGGCATGGCTCACTGTCAAAAATGAACATGTCTGTACGAGCACGATTTCAGGGTTCTTACATACTGCAGGTAGCAGTCACCAGCCTCTCACAAGAAGTATATACTCGTACTGCAGCAGCACTTCAGAGATGTTATCAAAACTTGATGTGGGGGGGGAAAGCAAGATGGAATAACAGTGATTCACCGTTGTTTTTCCTGTAATGTTACTTTGCTATTCCTACTGATCTTTATGAAGTCTTACTGATATTTCTGTAGTGTCATTTCAAGCAAAAGCTGCAGAAATAATTTGATCTTAAAAACCCAGAACACAGTCACATCACCGCCAAGTTGGGCACATAACACCAAAGTTTCCTTAAACTTCTGCAATGGACAGAGAATCAGTCCTCAGAAGTGTAATTTTGAGCACCACAAATAGGTCTTCTGCTCAGAATCACCTCTTAAAAAGTATTTTCCTCCCCATCAACACTAACAGGAGCCTAAAAAGGTTGGTCCCTCACTGAGGCACCTCGTTTAGACACAGGAAGCCAGGCCATGTGAATACCCAACTTCATTTGGAAAAAAAAAAAAACAAACCACAACAAACCCACCACAAAAAAATCTAACAAACCCCCCCCCCCCCATATGATCACTCGAAATGAGCAAAATCAACAATGGATGTATTGATCAAGCAGTGTTCTTTGACACTATAAGGCTTGAATCTTGCCTTGCAAAACAAGGAGTATGTATCTTAAAAAAAACCAAACAAACCCACAACTTTAGTTGTGTAAAGAAGAGCAAAACTATAAAAACAAATGCAGAGAACAGAGTTAGGTCTCCAGGTCCTTTAAGCCACAATTAAACACTTCACTGCAATTTTGTGCTTCTCAGCAAATCGGCTTGAAGAATTCTGAACAGTCTCCCAGGAACCACATACTTTTTTTTTTCCCCCGCCTCCAATCTAGCATGGACAATTATTTATTTTCTTTGCCCTGCACTCAAGAATGTGATGGATGTATTTAGATAAACACACACAGTCACAGATATCTCCATACAAAAAGTAATCTGCAGATGATGAAAAGTGTAAAAGATCTAAGAGGCAAATCCCAAACAAAAGAGCATACTTTATACACAAATATCTTGAAATTATAAAGATCTGAGATTAAGTGGTTTGCCACTCATTTAGAATTGATTAGAATGTATTTAAATTTAGCTGAAAGTACCACAACATTGCTCATGTATTTGCATCTGCGAATAAGTAAATAAAAAGCCCGTTATTAAAGCCTTCATTAATTCTGATTATATGAGAACTTAAAAGCAAATCTGTGTATCACTGCTCTGTAAAGACTCCTAGCAACTCTACAGTAAAGCTGGCACTGCAACACAACATGTGTCAGCGAAAATGACTAACAGGATCTATTTTCAGTAATCTTAAATCACACTGGTAAAATATAGAATTAAGTGGTTTGCATAATACTTCCAATATTTTTCATTGTAATTCATTCCCAATTCATGCTTTTTTGTATCAGAAAGTGAATTTTATATCACTTGACATTTATGCACAACAGTTGAACACATTTTATTAAACTACAATGTTTAGGCAGTATTCACATGTGATGTGTATATTATTATGAAGAGTGATCCAGCTATTTTATTTCCTTATAAATATGATGGCTAGAGGTTTAAAAATGTAGCACGTTGACTAGAAACGTGAAGAACATTTCACTCTGACTATAAATTTTGAGTTTCTACATATTTAATTGAAGCCAATATTTTTTGAAAGAAGGATTCACTAATTTGAGTAGAGTTTTCCCCCAATTAAAGATTTTTCTGTTGATTTCTAAAGACTTCAAGTATATAATCTACCCCAAAATGGTTCTTCTTGGAGAAAACAAGTTTTAAGGTATGAATGATTCCTGAAAGTCAACTTCCCCCCTGTCCCTCACCCCAAAAATTCCACCTGTATCTCTGGCACACTGGTTTAATAATTGAAGCAGAGGAGCGTAACTGAAATCAGGGTCTTCAATCTCTATTCTCATACTAACAAATTAAATACATGTATTAAATGAAATTTGTATTTACAGAAACTTGAGTTTGCAACACCGATTCACCTGTCAGCCCTGATGTTCCCTTTTGCGAAGGACAGTCCTGGTAAAACTACCCCTGCCAACTCTACTTTTCATGGCTCGATTCCAAGCCTGAGTGAATCCTTCCATGGCTCGAGTGGGACCACACATCCCAGAGCAGCACAGGCTTATACTCCATTTATAAATGGAAGTTGATCTGGGGCAGTTAGGGGAGAAAAAGTAAACAATTCATTAAATTTGGTACACAGGAAATGATGCTGCAATATCTGAGGATGTTTGCTTTCCACTCTCATAGTTGAAAAGTCATTCCAAGTTAAAACAAAACAAAACCCAACCTTCCCCCAACATTTAGCCATTAAACTCAAGAGTTATGAGGTGGAGTTTGATTAAAGATCTTGCACTTTATCACGTCCGGTAATCAGACTGGTTTAGAACAACCTCTACCCTCTACTTTATAGAGTTGGCCTCAAAATAAATTACTTTCCCCTACACAGTTTCTACGCCCAAATGCCAAGTTGATTACTCAGTAATCAACATCACCAAACATTTTAAGGCACCATACAAGACAAAAGATCAAAGGGATTTTTAGCATTTAGTTATACAGAAAACTATACCTGGTAGTCTAAAATGCTGAATCCTAAACCATTTTTGTCTTTCTCCAGTTCAATAACCTTCACATCAGGAGACCATAACGCTAATTCCCCTTCGTCCTCTTCAGGATTAATGTCTTCCTTGGGTTTCACCTGAAAAATAAAAGCTCTACTTCAAATACCATTCTTTCAGTTCTTTACAAACACTATTCCTTCAATATTTTGATTATTAATTGCTCATACATGCCCTAAAATATGACCTTTTATGGAATTATAACTTCATTGACATGATGCATCCAGTTTTCTCCAGCCTGCTGCCTTGGCCACTTCCCCTGTGACTATGCCTACACGTTTTGAGCATCGGAGCCCAACCTGGCATACAAATACCCCTGTATTAGTCAAATTAATTGTTATAATATTACTAACCTGTTACATGTTGATGAACTTCAGCTGTCCCATTAGATGCATAAAGGAAAAATAAATAACTTAGCATAAAATATTTAACCACAGACAGCTAATAGAAAGACCAGACGACCAGGCACGTCTGATACTTGAGGCATTAAATATATGCAAACAAAAAATTCTTATACTGTAACTATACAAATAGTATCTAATTTGAAAAAGCAGTTTCTTTCATGATTTTTGTGCCAAGATATTAAAAAAAAAAAAAAAAAAAAAAGAGGTATAGTTACCCAATTTTTTTGAGTAAGGACAGCTTCATAAAAACATATTCCAAAAAGTCACCTTTTGTTGTCTAACTTAAAATGCATGTTTTAACATTACTGCTATTTTATCAATACACTCGTTACGAAATATCAATGTATGATGTCCAAAGAAAAACTTTAAAAACTTGTACGCTGATTTAACTTTATTTCTTTGGACAAATATGCCTATTACACAGAGAGCTACCATGGGGCAAAAGGAAGAAATTTTTCTTCCACACATTTTATTGATACTTTTGATAAAAGAAAGCAGAAATATTGTGAGTTTCTCTAAAGAGAAGGCAAACTGTTCACTCAATGTAACCTTATGGCAAAGATGTGCAACAGGACGCACGGAGAAAATGTTCAGTAAAATGAAACATCAAAAACCACAGTGGAACAAGTCCTAGTTACAAAAAGATGTAATACACCTTATTCTTCCACGAAACCTCCATATTTCTTGTATAACTCTCCATCTTAGAGGAAATTAGATCAGAAAATATCAGAAAAGATGAGAAGTCAAGGTGCAAATACTTTTCATAAATAGGAACAACCATTACAAGCGTCAAGCTTCAGTTAGAGACTTTAAAGCTTCTGCAATGGAAAGAAACATTAAGTTTCATTTTTTTCCAGTTCTATAAAAACCTACTCAGAACGTGGAAGCAATCAGCTAATGGTGGCAAGGATGTGTTTTAGTGTAATTCAGAGCTCTCACTCATCTATTAAGTGTAAGAATGATGAATGGGACGTACACAGTCAGCGTGCTAGCTCGGTGATTTACCTACCTTGTATTTATAGTACAAGGAAGTTTCCCATGACCAACCTGTACAAACTGCAGTAAAAGGACTGGCATTGGAAACATGAACTATCTTTCACTGAAACACCAGCTGTCCCTTACCAGCCCAAAGGGAACGGCAAAGGCAGCTTTATATGACAATTTAATACAAAACTGCCTCCTATAACTAAATATTCTAGGAAATGTTCTTTGAGACTGAAAAGTGGTCTGGATCAAACAGCAAAAGGAAAACAGAGACACTGTCTTTGTCAGACAAATCACTTTCTCAGAAATATATGCACTTTTTCAAATAGTTATGGTCCTTTGACAAAACTGAATGACATGAGAAGTTTACCTTCTGTTCTGGAGGGGAAACTCCCATGGCAGGTTCATCCACAAAAGACTCAGTGCCGTCATCAAAAAGTCGCCGACAGCAAACCAATGTAAATGGGGGTGGCACTTCTTTCAAAAAAGTGATCGCCTCACGGCGTGATTTTCCATATAGCTGAACTCCATTTACCTACACAGACGGGGAAACACACATCCATGATAAGATAATTAAAGGATATCCACCAGATTCTTTTATTAATTTTTTTGCATGCATGTCTCTCCCCAGCTGGATGTGACAGTCTCATTTTACCTAGGGATTCCAGCAAAGCTTGCAGTTTTATTAACATATGTTTCTGAAGTATACATGCATTACTGTAAGACTTAAACTTCATCTGCAAGATCTTGTGACTACTGCTACATCATCTTTCTGCTCTCTTCAACTTCCTCCAACTCGTTTTCTGCTCACTACTTTTCCTAGCCTACATCTTTCCTAGCATTATTTCGTTCTCACCTGTTTATTTGTTGGCGATTTTTTTTAGCATTAGGATTATGTGTTTGAATTCAAAAACAGATGAAAAAATATTTTTCAAAAACATTTTAAGAAAACACAGATTTAGAGCTGTAATCAAAAACCTGAAAGTCAGAACTAGCAACTTTGTCAGCTGTTGAAAATGTAACAAAACGTTGAAACTGAAATAGATCCTACAGGAAACATGCAAGGATGTTTACATAGTAAAAAAGAAACCAATTACAGCAAGCAATTAATCAGAAAACCCTGACAAGGGTCAAAGCTTACCATCCCATAAGCTTTAGATCCTGAGTGACAACAGAAGACCATAAGGCCATTATCAATGGATGCTTTAAACCATAGACTTAAAAAAAAAAAAAAGAAAAAAAAAAGAAAAAATAAGATAGATTGATAATAATGCTGTTTTAAAAATGGGATACATCCTCTTTTGCATATTTTATAATTGCAATATCATGAGAGTACATCTGCGTGCACTGCAGCAGTATCCTTAAATACCAGGAAAGCAGAACGTCAGTAGGTGTCATAGATGTGAACACCATCTATGTTGACAAGAAGTACAGCCCCAAAAGAGCAAGGGTTTAACCCAGTTAGTGCTATGGACTCAATCCCAACGCTACTTGTGTTTCAGGGATTTATTTCAGGCTACCTCCAGTCTACTTTTGTGACCAAATGCCCAAAGTGGCTGGAGTGCAACCACTGGGTTAGGAATCCAGTTCACATCATCCAAGTCCACTCCACAAGATGAAACAAAGCACAGTACGTGGGGATCATCGATGATTCTCTTCAATACTCCAACTCCATACCCGAACTGCAATGCTAATGTCGATGAACCCACATTTGATCCAAGAAAATACAGCCGGTAAATACACCACATACACACCTCTGCACCTGCGTAACTCAGACCAGAGCCTGGCCATATGCTTCACAGATCTGCTTGTCCTCTAGAGGGACTCAATCTTCTGCAAGGCTACACGGCAATCTCACTTTAGCCACCATTTTCTTCAATTACCTCTATTTTTCCCCCACTTTTTCCTTTATGCTTTTCACGGTGTAATGCTGGGAAACACAGAGTTCCTCTCACACTACAACGCAGCCAAGGAGAAACTCAGAGTGGTGTAACCGGCCTCCACCATGGTAAGATGAACTGCTGTAGGTTTTTTGTGTAAGAATTACAGCAACTGCTGAGCTATCAGGCTAATCCATTAGTTAATTATTTAAGCAGAAGTATCTATGCGTAAGGATTTTTTAATGCATTGAGAGTGGCAGTGTGGTGGAAAGTTACCAGCACTTCTCAGCGTATTGTGATTGATGGAGAAGAGCTACCGCGCACTCCCAAGCAGACTTGGGGACTCCTGTTTCTTCTTCTGCAGCTGCCAGAAAATCAGCCTCTGAACACACAAGGTGCCCAACACTCCATTCATTCAGCACACCACTCTATAGTTACTTGTGCCATCAAATAGGAGCAAGTGAAATTTTTTAACAAAACTAGAAAGACACAAGGAAGCAATTTACTCCTAAAAAAAGAACAAAATGAAATTAGCTAAAATTAGAGGAGAAAAAAAAATACCATGATTTCTATCATAATTCAAACACACCATTAAAAATAATCAACATTCAACCTCACTATATATCAAAAAAAATTCCTTGCTGATCACATTTTAATCCCCACTGTATCAGGCCCAGGTAGAGCTGTTATGTTTGGGGAACGGGGCTGTCACTTTTTCCATTGCAAACCCCTACTTAAGGGGATTTATAACTTGGCTGCAAACGCATACTCTGGGCTAAACCTGGCATATACAGATTTAGCCCTGGAGCACATTTTTATTTTGTTGGGTTTTCTTTCCTGCTACAGAGTAGAAAAAAAATTTATGTTCACTAGGTCTGAACATATCTGTGAACTTAATTGTAAACACACAGTAATAAGGAAACCTGTTAACTATATACAATTAAAGTTTCCTAAGTTACTCTACAGCACTGCAGTATTGCTTTTTGTATACAATTTTTTTGTTTAGTGGCCAAGGAATTTAAACAACACTTCTTCCAGCATTCCATTAATCCTTCCTTTAGGAATCAAGATTTCCTCCATCAAGCAATAACTGAAGAAAATGTTTTCGGTCCTAGTGACATCAGTATGAATTTTTGATGTTAAAGGGTGAACAACAAGTAAAAGTAAGAGAGCTGTACAACTAAAAAATTAATCTTTCAGAAGGCCTAATTCTGTTCCCATTTATGTCATTTAACTGTTCTTTGCATTCAATAAAAAAAGGTCCAAATTCAAAATATTCCACAAAGAGCAGGTATTCAATAGGAAACTAATGTCTTCTCACTCGCAGGCTGAGATACTGATAGATATACATACGTACACACACAAAACAGGTATTATTTTAATACTATCACATAAATATTTTTCCTGAGCAAATAGGTCTGGTCTGATTCTGATAACTTCAAAGCTGCCCCAATACTTCTTTATACATATTTAAACAAACTGATGTACTAGCTCATACACACAAATGTTTTTCAACACTCAACAAGCAAGTTATAATGTGCAACAGCAACCAATAGTCCTGAGACTGCTGTAAATTTTTTATAGCAACAAATATTAAGAAAGATTATCCACCACAAAAGCTAATGTTAAATTGCTCAAAAGATTGAGCTAAAAGACCACAGGATACATTCAACACAAATATTATCTCTGCCCTTGTAACTCTTGATATGAATGTTAAACGTTTCAGAAAACAAAACAAAACAAAAAACAAGAAGTGACTAAGAGGTCACAAGAATTTGACATGTTGGTTTTTACCTCCAGAAGTTCATCCTCCAGTTGCAGAAGACCAAGTGCCGCAGCTGGACCATCTGAAGCAATTGATGATATATAATGATGTCCATCAAACGTGTCAAGCTCAACTCCTAATCTCAAGGTGTGAATGGGTAATAGCTGCCAAAACAACAACAACAACAAAAAAATATACACACACATACATATATCTTTACCACAACATAAACACATTTTGGATTCAATAGCTAACCAAATTAAACTAAGCACACAGTAAGATGACTAAATCTTCATATTGGTATCGTCTGCATTACAGCATATGTCCATAATTCCTCTATAGAAACTGTTCGCACAAATAAAAACAACCAACCTGCCCTTTGGGGGAGGTGGAACTGTGTTCTTAAATAAGGTCAACAGACTGGAAAAAAGGGAAATAAAAAGTCTATCCTACCCAAAAAGGTGAGTTTTCAACAAACCTGAAAGGAATTCCACAATCACCATAAAAACCCACCACAGGATCAGCTGTCTCATTCATTTAGGAGCTACACTACATTGAGGCAGAAAAAATATCCATGAAATGTTCTTGGCAAATAGCTAATAATATTGGCATCCTTATTTCTGCAAGCCAAAATCTTTGCTTTTGTGTTAGCCTCTTCTCAATGGACCTTCTGAATTTGGAATTTTTCTTTAGGGAGCCTCCAACCATTAGTGTCTTAGTTCTACAAATATTAGGGAGACTACCATAAAGCTGATACACTTTCCAGACAAGACAGCAGAAATGATGGCAACCTGGGGAGAGGACAAGATGACTGGCAGTATCCGCTCCTTCAGTTTGGCTTAAATTGGAACACTGACTCTCCTTCTGGTTCATAATTCAAGATATTCAAGTAAAAGGAGTGACCCATTGATCCTCAACATTCCCTCACACCTATGGCTGATTATGAGTTTATGGCCTTTCTTCACTGAGACATCCCCACAAGTACATAAATGCACCACCTCCAAAAACTGCTTTTGCACAACATTAACCTACGTATCTTGCAAGTCTCTCAAAAGCCTCAGAAGACTGAAATTAATTTCAGCCCTGACCATTCTGATTAAACGGACTCCCATCTCCCCCCGAGCCAAGATCATTATAGCAAAGCTGTCTGTGGGACGATGACATTGTTCAGCAGAGTTTCAACTTCTGCTGCATTCTCTAGTGGCTTTCAACAATTATTCTACAATATTCTACAATATTGCCCAAAATTTGAGGCTTATATGGATGGTTTGGTTTTTTTTTGTTGTTTGGGGATGTGGGGGTGTGTTAAAAGATTCATTTGTGCACGCTACAAAAAGGTACTGGATTCATCCAGAAGATAAGCAAAATATTGGCAGCCTCTTTTGGAAAAGTAATACAGAGCCACAAAGCTAGAATCACTCTAAATTTCTGAAACACATAAATCCGGAATTTTGTCATGCCCTCCTAGGATTATTCTGCCAACTTATACCATAAAGGAAACCATCACGTAAGTCATACCTTTGAGTACTTCTGGAGTTCCAAATCATCTGTAATGGGCGTATCCACATTCACAACCTAAAAATTGTGCATGAAAACATTTTGAAATAGCAGGACAATAAAGACTTTACCAGAATGATGAATTCTGGCAAAAAACTGATAAGCAAAATAAACCGTACTTAAACAAAGTCATACTGATGCAAAATGATTTTAAACAAATGTTAGAAAAATCTTTCAGCCACAGAACATTTACAACCAGGAATGTGGTCATTATGCACTATTAGCAGATTCCGATATTATCCTATTTCCAAAGCCCGAGTGCCGATTTTAGTCAAGTTCAGTAATCCTGTACAGCACAGAATGTCCTTATGTTTTACACAAACACCCAAACTGACCTGCCAATCAGAATTTGAAAAGTACGACAGCTTAAGTTACTACTTCAGGCTATAGTACAGATGTCTAACATCTAGCCTAAACCACCATCTTCTGCAGCATGTTTCTAACACAGCTTGAAACACGGGAGTTTAATTACCAAATCTGAATGCAAAGAGGATTATTTAAAACAGTGTCAAGAAATCCCTTCAGTACATCTTCATTTTTTATATTAATAAAATCACTATGTTCACCAACAGTTTCCTTGTAATGTTCTTCCTTAACATAATTTATTTACCTGCAACCTTAGAAGGTGATTTACTCCAATTTTAAATGTAATAAGATAACATCTGTGGTGAACTCTGGAGTTTGGGACACTGAAATTGAATATGTTTTGGAGGATTGCTACCCTTGTTAGATGTGGAAAATATATAGCCTTGCAAAGAATCGGGCAACTTCGAGCTCCTTTGGAAATGTCTAGTTTAACAAAGTATCTCTGAAACAATACTAAGCCTCAGCTTTTCTTTCAGCTTAACTTTAAATAGAGCTTCCAGCATCTTGTTTTCCAGGACCAAGGGTATTTTTCCTGACAGACAGAATCCATTTCATGTCCATTCAGTCGTAACTAAATGAATCTATGACTGATAACTCCTCAGCTTCACTGCTCACGCTTAGGTACCTGACAACACACACCACCCAGTCATACATCCTGACTTCCACGGTCTCTTTCTCCAGGTCTCTTGTTTCAGCAAGATCTCAGCTCCTTCCACTGGTACCACAAAGGATCAGCAACACAGAAGCCGTGAGTGACAGCAAATGCTGTCTTTAAACAGCTATTTCTTCTGAAGAGAAATACTTCAGAGAGAATACTCAAACCTGCTGGCACCTTCAGGGTGACTTGCTGGGACCGGAGCGTAGGAGCAAGGATAGCGTGAAACAGGGACCGTGCTATCAGGCTGAAATCAAACTAGACGTTGTTATTGAACACAGCCAAGCAGGACTAGGGGTAGGTACAAATTACATGAACTGGAAGAACCAAAAAATTACTTTCAAAATGGGATGCCACAACACTTTCCTTCTATTATTTAAAAGGACTAATCGTTAACATTTTCACTCCTGCTATTTTTACTGGCAGCAGCTAAAGAAGAATTAGAAATGGAGGGTTTCACAAACTAAGCAGGTTTTCGTCCTCTGTGGGAAGTGTGATAATGCCAAGGGAAGTAATATCAGACTCTTGAAATGTAAGGATGGGAATACCAAGCAACTGAAGTGGGCAGCCAAACAGATTTATTGCACCATGTACATAATCTTACACGAACTTCAGATCTTAAAGGAGTGCTAATGGAAAGAAGAGAAGCGAGTTTCTCAAGGCAATTCTTAAAGCTACTTTAAATCTTCCAGCGAGCGACTGGAAACGATGGCTACTCGAAGTAGTAAAAATAAGTGTCTCTAAATCAACTGGACAAGCATTGCAAAGACAAACAAGGCACTTTCTTGGTGGTAGTGAGAATTTTTTAAGTCTTCGGAAAGAACGTTAGCTGGAGCCTTTTATCTGTACTCACTGGCTAACACAGCACTGAAAAGCGGTAGTGAATTACAATTTCAGTCAACTCCTTATGACAATTCATCAAAACAATCTTTTGCTCGACAATTATTTAATATGAGGTGAAGAAATATCTAATAGACACTGGCACCACAAAGTTACACTACCGTGAATCACTTCCTATTTTCCCAGCACATTTAAAAATCATTCTTTCATTCTTCTCATAAAATCGTAAGAAACAGGGGAGCTCAATGCTGAGCCTTTTTTTTGCAGTGCACAATAAAACAAATAGACCATAAATGAAATCATAAAAATGCCACATATTTTAAGTGGCTGCTATGATGCCAATTTAAAAGGACAGTTGATTTTCTTAAATCACTGTTCCTGTCTCCTATCTGTATAACAATAGTATCTATACAAACAGAATAAAAACAAAAAAAAAAGCAGCTCCTATATTTCACAGCCTCGATGGTACGGGAAACAAAATTGATGTCACTGATCTGCTCCAAACACTGAACTGTTCTATAAACAGCCTCTAATGCTAAGCTCACAGATCTGTAATTTAAAGAAATAACATACATGAGTGTAGTTTATTGAAAGATAACATACCATAACTTCATATTCAGGTCCCAGCAGGTTTTCCCACTTGGATTTCAGCTCATATGCTGGAGGGAGCGGGACTCTTCCTAAATATGAAAGTGAATATTAAATTTACAAGCATATTGTAAGAAGTACATTTACTTCTAAATACTTCAATAAAAATTCAGTGTAAATAAAATATTAGGGGGAATAATCCCAAAAAGGAAAGTGCATTAAGCTGAACCTATCAAAGAGTGCAAATCAAAAATGTCTAAGGAAAACAATGCAAAATGTCAGCTACTGCTAATGTGTGATTTATTCAGCAGAGAATCAGAAGAGGTGATGCTTGCATTGATGAGATGCGAGTTCTGTACCATACAGTACTGTAAATAAATCTTTCCTTCAGGCTGCAAAATGAATTTCACATGACTTCGTAATTTGTTGCTATAAAAACGCTTGCCACTCCAGGGAAGCATTATCTCCCACCAAAATGAACCCCCTTAAGAAGTGAAACACCTGACAAGATATTGCTGTTATCGAGGGGCTGCGTCAGCACAACGCAGCCATAGACTTTATTTATATATTTGGCAGGTATAAAGGCTTGTCTAGTTTAATTAGGCCAGTAAGTAACATGAGCTTTAATATAAGCTCCAGTTCTAAACCAGTCTTCCGTGGGAACTTGGCTATCTTGACATTTATATCTTTTCAGCTTTCTTACTTATGCAACCAAGGCAGTATTACATTCATGTAAGACAATTTGACAGAGCTAGACAGCAGAAAATGACTGGCTGCCCTGCATTTGACCTCATCCAGAAGCTCAGCGCACATATAAAGTTCCAAGCCGAAGTAATGTTTAACTGGTAAAAATCAAGCTCGAAAGCAAATTCCATCTAGCAGCTCCAGCAGCAGCAACTGGGGGCTGAATTACCAAAACCTGGTTTTTTTTTTTTTTTTTCCCCCTGAACAACTGTAATAGCTTGTCAGATGTCTAGACAAGGCACAGACCACTTAGTATTGCTGATGTGTCGTACTGAAATTTAGAATGTAAATCACAACCTCGTATTTTGCGCACAAACTAGCGAGTAAAATACCTCAAGGGGGGAATTTTGAAGACACCAAGAGAAGCTCAGAGCCTACCTACAAGCAAAAGCCAATACAAACAGGATGTCAAGCTGCCTTTGCTTTCAACACCTTTGTAGACTGCAAAGATAAAACACGAGCTCTGCAATACAATCCTCATTACATCACTTTATAACTTTGAAGTTTTCCACTCATTAAAAACAAAGATTTAAGTTAACTTACACAACAACATAACCCATCACTGTATCTCTTCCATTCACTTTCTGTCATGCCAAGTAGGCAAATTCTGTCTGATCTGGACTGAGAAACCACACTACTGAGAGCCTAACAACTGAGATTTCCCATAGAAATATCCAGAGCATCTTTAACCTGCAGGCTCAAGGAGATACAGGTATTGAAGGATTCCTGCAATTCAGATAACTATTTTCTGTCACCAAAAAGAAACCCCACCAAAAATAAAAACTATTTTATAATGTATATAAACATTACACAGAGATGTGTAATGTTTGTAAATACAGACCACTGTTCTCTCTGAAATAAACTACCTCCTTTAAAAACAAATGGAATACAAATTGTTCCAAAATTTTCAGCTGTGAGTTAAGGTTTTTTTTTTTTCTCCATTTAAATTTAATTGAAGCTTCTAAGGAGAAGTCCTCTTTGTGAGCCTTGTCATCAAGCACAGGCTGATCACTATCTTTTCTTCCCAACTGTAGAAGCAACAGAACACCAGTGCATTTTTCTACTCCTCCCATTTGCAGAAATACATAGGGACAGAAATTCTTTAGTCTTTTTTTCTGCTATTACAAAGTTACAGCAGGACCTAAGCACCTGCAATCCCCTGTGCAGCCAAACACAGATTTCAAGGTTCACCAGGAGTAATGAATCTTAGGGTCAAGCTCAAAGTTCAGTTCAGTAACTGTAAGCTGTGTTCAGTTGGCTGAATACAGATTTTTTTGTCAGTTCCAAAACACATTACCAAAATCTATGAGTTGCTCAGAGCAGGTGCTGATGCATGTCTCCATTTGAAGTTTCCCCTTTTCTTTCTTTCAAACACACTTTGAAGTCTTTGCCTGTAACCTCCTCAAACTGTGGAAATGCTGGCTGGAAGGATTTGAATTAAATATGTTCAATTCCAACGGTATCACCCAATTCACTTAAAATGCTCCTTTTTCCCCAAACAGCTTTTCCCACATGGCAGATAATAGAAGTTTCTTTCTAGTGTCTCATCCAGCTGGATTTCTCATGACCTGAGATATGTACCTCATCTTCTCAGAGGGCCTCAGATATGAGAACACTTCACAGGGACAGCTTTCATTAGCGACAACTTTCAACATATTTTGTCTGTCCCTTCTGACTTCCATACAGTTTTTCATTTCTAATTAGCAAGCGTCAAGAATAAATCACAAGTGTATTGTAAAAATCATCTTTCCTGGTCAAAATTGCTGGCATCGTCAAAACTGGGATATTTTCTTCTTGCAACTTCCTCCTGGTTTCACAAACTTACAACACAAGGATGTGTAGTGTGCTCTAGTACACTTCATGAAGGCATTACCGTTATCTGCCCTCCTGTTGGTATTTTTCCGCAGCTATCTTTAAGTGCCTGACTAGCATCATTGTATCTTTGGGTTTTGAGTACTGCTGCAAGGCAAAAGAAAGCAGTTCTGCCCAGTCTGCAGTCTTGCAGATGCAGCTGTTAAGTTAATTGCCTCTAGTCTGCTCGCAGAAAGTTTCAGGCCTCATGCACACTGCATCCTAAACCACGTTGCCCTTGTAACAGAACTGCTTAAGCACCGTTTTGCCTGGCCAAGATTACTATTTAATACCTCTCCAGGAAACACAATTTAATAAGAATTTCACACAACTCGGCTTAAAGGGAAGTAATACATATTTTATAAAACATACCTTTTACATTAAACTTCTAAAGGCATTTCCAGAGTTTAGTCGGAGCCTTAAATTAACAGGATCTACTTTAGCACCATTATAATGAAGAGCCCATCGCCATGTCCAAAATAAGCACCAATGTTTGGAATTTAAACTTGGCCATTAAATTCTATTCCAAGGTGAAAACTTATACATCGTATTTCAGTGTGAGTAAAGTTTGCAACTAAGTATTTCAACTTTTTAACAGAGATACACACACGTATTTCATAGGTGCATAAAGCTTTTGCAGACCCTTGTAACTTACAGTGGTTTTTCACTACCCTAGTTTAACCAAGCAATAATACTTGCTTGCCATCGCATTAAATGCTCCGGATTCATTACCCAGTTTCAAAGCCATGCCCGTTGCATTATCCCGCTGGCCCAAGGAGGACCAGCACTGCTAGTCGGTATCAAGGGCAGTATCCGACTGCAGACAAACAATATCTTCAGCATTTAAATTTTGGTATCCCAAGACACACTGTGCATACAAACATATTAACCTGCATTCTCCAGGGTAAAGGGAGCTTGGGTACCCAGGAGAACAGAAAAATCTCACAGTACGCTTGCTGGATAATGCGCTGGGGAACGCCGTGTGGATAAACCACACTGCCTCTGCCAGGAATCAGCGTGGGTCCAGCCGGCAGCTACAGATTCCAAGCCATGAAGTCCTTGCTAGACCCAGGTGCATCTGCACCATATTCCACAGAGCTCCAAGGAAGGGGATTATGAGACCTGCACGATGCTAGAATTGAAGGGGAGCCACTCATACACATACAATTTGGTTACAAACTCCTTTTGAAACTAAAGGCTTTGGAGTATTTATAGGGAGGCAGTGAATCCACATCAAAGCAGTTTGGGTCTGGTATGAAAATGGTTCAAAAATACAGTTTGATCTAAGCTGATTATTAGCAGAACAGGGATCACTAAGGCATGTCTAGATAACACACCTTGCGACTAACAGAACTGGTTAACTTACAGCCAGGTAAAAGGAATTTTAGCTCCCAGCATAAACTGATCCTGGCGTTGATATACCACATTTGCACTGCACTAGGTATTGGGTAAGAAATTCCTCAAAAAGTTGTCTTTGCACCAGGGCAGACATCTACAGCCTGTGACAAAAGAAAACCCAACCACGAGTGGTCAGGAACTGACTACAGAGATACTGTTCAGTTCAGTAGAAAAAGAAAATACTTTATGCATAGAAAGTTCCGTAGTAAAACAAAAGGACTGGGTAAGTGACACAGGACAGCATGTGTTGCTCTTTTTTAGCGTCTGTTCTTCCCCCAAATACATCCTACTGCTAAGTCTTTAAGTTCTTTGTCCATTGTAACTACAAATCAATTTATGCTTTTCCATTCATACAGCTAAAACAACACTTCGATAACCTCACATCGCAGCTACTCCACCATCTCTGTTTTGGCTTCCTATTTCTGGGAATATGCAAAAGTCACAACAAAGGATGTCTGGTTATAAGGCTTGGACAGAAAAGTAAAACAGCATGGAACACAGGAACTGCTACATTTCTCTCGTTTCCAGGTTGTCTTTAATACTGACAGATCTTCCACAATCAGAGCAAAATTGTTATTCATTGACAGCCATAATTTAGAATCCTCTATTACATCTACATATCTTATAAATGACAAGTCATAAGGATAATTTATGCTGACTTTAACACAAGCTGTAGAAATTCACCCAGAATTTCCTGTAGAAAGGCCCAGAAATCTGCAGGGGAATCAATTCAGCACACCTTCTGGGAAGACCTCCAATCTTGATTCAGAAGTCAGCGAAAAACCAAAGCAATCCCTGCCTTTGTGATCTGTCCCTACATTCAACTGCCTTTGCTGTTCAAAACACACGCCTAATTTGAACTCCTGTCCAGCTTCCGACTCCAGCTATCAGGTCTTTATGTCTATTATATCCTTGCCAGACCAGAGAATCTCATCTGCCTGCACAGGTGTGCAGTCAACAATTTCCAGTTGAGCTAGAAAGCTCAGGACAAGCAAGCCAGAAATTTCATGTCTAGGGACAGAACTCTAGTTTCCAAGAGTAGCATGGGAGGAAGAAGGATGCAACTGCATTAGTACCACAAGGTAAACGAGTTGGGTCTGGGAAGCAGCAGGCAGCAAGGAGAGGTTCATTGCCAAATGGGGAATGTCACAGGAGGGACATAACCTGTGCTAGGATTCCTGCTTCTACTCCAGGAAATGTCAGTGGCCAGGAGCACTATCAGCAGGACAAGCAAATAGGAGCAAGGCAGTTCACCTGGCAGGTGGCACTCAGGTGACAGAGATGTTAATGGGAATGGCATCTGCCTCATTTGTAGGTCATTTTCCACACAAATGGAGACACGTCACAAGACATGATCCCCTGTCCCTGCTAGCACAGCCACCTCTGGTCCTTCCACAAGCCCTACTCAGTCAAAAGTCCTGAGGGAGGACGCTGCAGCTCAGGTCACAGGTTGTAGGAGGCCAAGCCAAGCAGCTTGGAAGGTGAGTTCTGATGAAGTTACCGCAGTGCCAGAAGAGGAAACTCCAACAAACGGGCAGCAGAGATGATGTACAGGAAACCAACAGAATATTCTGAAAAGACTCTGCAGATGCAGGAGCCTAAGAGCTGTGAGGGCAAGAAGATAGATATGACCGAAGTAGCAATGGATTGGGAAGTAAATGTGAACTCCCGAGAGTTCCATCTCCTCACGCTGTTCACCTAGCAATCTGTTCAGGGCCCTGGCACCAGAGGAGGATGAACAAATCTTCTCTGTCAGGAGAAGATCGCAGGCAGGACACCTCAGGTCAGAGTAGGACCAGGACTAGAAAGAGGAATTGGTGAGCTGGAGGCATTCAGGTGGGGATGGGGTGGGGTGGAAGTGTAGATAGATCCAACAGGTAGAGCTTTACTCTGGAGGGACCTGAATAAAAAGCATTACAGAGCAAAAGCTAAAGATGGAGTAAGCCACGACAGCCCATCAGTACTGAAAATAGATTAAAGACAATTCCAAAGACTCAGAAGAGACATTGCAAGATCTTCTATCCACCTGTTTTATGCAGACTCTGCTTCTTTTCATTTTGAAGATTATCCTTCTGTTTGTGGCTTTCCCCATTCTTAGCATCCACACTAGTTTCAGCTCCTACAGCTCCAGGGGACACAAAGGTTGGAACAGCTGGCTGCACTGTGAAAACAGATGAAAAAAAAAAATCACATGCTGCAAAATATGTGAATGAGTAACACTATCTCACTAACTACTCTTCTTTTTTTGGGGGGTGTGGGGGGGAGGGCTACACAGGAGTTTTTTTCACTCAATTTTCCTGAATCTCTCATTTCTGTTTCTTTCCACTCCTTAATTATCTCACTTCCCCGCAGCAGGGGGGTTGGAACTCTATGATCTTTAAGGTCCTTTCCAACCCTAACCATTCTATGATTCTATGATTTTCTACAGTGTGCCCTTACAAAATCTAGGATCATGTGGTATCTAGTCCTAATTGTTAAATTAGGTAACTTTAAGTCAAGAGAAAAATAAAATCAGTTGCTGAAAAAGGGGGAGGAAAAATTACCTCTATCTGAAGGTCTTTCTGTAGAAGAAGGTCTCCTTCTAAGTAAGGTAAGGCGTACAGTCTGTCCTGCGTTACGCAACGCCTCTACCACTTCTTGGTTGGTATAATCCTGTATATTAACTCCATCAACCTAAAACAAGAAAATCGTATCACGTAACAGTAATCATATTACATTCTTAGGCTGTACCATACACTGTAAGCAACATCCACATTATTTTGTGCAGAAGCTACAGGGTTATTCACCCAAGGCAGCAGTATTTGCAAAACAATCTCATTAAATCAGTTATATTTCACTAATTAGATAATATTTTCAAAATGTATTTTAAAAGGAAACACAACAGTAATTTCTTCTGTCTTCATGGGGTAATCACAAAACAGTATTTACTAATCTAAGTATACACTGATTTCCCTGCACTTTTTTTTTTTTTTTTTCTCTTTCTTACAAAAAACAGCTTGAGGAGTATTTTGGATGAAGCTTCCCAGCAAGAGCAGTCAACCTGGAACTCTCTTCAGTTCATTATCACTCTTAGTTTTCTCATGGATTTCTGACATGCCCCACACAAGCCTAGACACATAACTGTTTGTATAATCCACTCTGAACAGCCCAATTCTTATATTAATTCAGATGTTTTAATTTACACTCTGAGTACTCTGTTCACCTCACTGTTAGATCATGCATCAACAGGGGCTTCTCCTGCAAAGCTGCAGATAAAAGCACAAGGTTGTATCTATTTTTGCTTTCACAAAGGAGAAGCTGACGTTGGATGGTCTGGCATAGCACACATTTACAAAGTAATTTTAAATCATCTCTCTATAAATATTATCTCTTAAAACAAAAGGACTGTG